AGGTTGGCCCAGGATTGGGTAGTGTTTTGTTCTGTTGTTCATAGTGTCACTATGAGCCGGTATCAACTCAATAGCATCAAACAACAACATCAACAACAGAGGAAAGTGTGGCTCTATAGTCAGACAGACTTGGGTTCCAACTCTGGCTTAAATTCTCTAGGCCTCAATTCCCTCATCTGTAAAATGGGAACAACTACATACCAGAGCTTGGTTGGGACCCAGCACAATAACAGGCACCTAGTGGAGAGCCTTGAAAGGTAGCCCCAGCTCACTCATCTCAAATGGCAGCTCCTTGAGGAAGCCTCCTCTTGCCGCTCTCCCCAGCCCCAAGTGACTCTCCACTCCTTGCCATAACTCTGGTGGTCTTTCCACATGTCCTGTGTTATGTTTGTGGAGGGGTTCTTCCCTCCACCCCTAGGCTCTATGCCCCATGGGAAGGGCAGCTGGGTCTGCTCCTCGATGATGACTTTGATCCACTCTCTTTTTCAGTGGGTTGAAGCCTAGTCTCTTCCCCTCCTTGCCCGGAGCTATGCTACTACTATTGTGTTCACCGCTTTCCTCCCACTTGGGTCTCCGTCAGTAATTCTCAGCCTCCTACTGCGGGCCTGAGCTTCACCAGCCTGGTGCCTAGTCCTTCCTCATGCAGCTCAAAAATGCTCCCAGCAAGGCTTTCAAGGAAGGCTGACCTGGTGTCTCCATGCCACCACCATCAGCACTGCCAAAGACCTCTACCTCCAATCTGAGTATGGGACTAGGCCAGCCCTTCCCTACTCAAAAAGAAACCAGATGCCATGTAGCAGCTACCTCATAACCTGAGCCAGTGCTCACCTGTCCTTGGGGTCCAAGCGGGCAGCCCAGCAACAGCAGACACAGCAGGCGATGCCCAGGCAGAGCAGCAGCAGAGGCACCAGTATGCCCGCAATGAGGGCAGCATCCTGACCGTGAAGGCCTAGGGGAGCAGGGGAGGTCAAACACAGTCTGCCTTATCCTTAGCTCTGAGCTGCCCTTCCCTGGTGCTCCCTCCTTCACCTCTGTGACACGTAGACTCTGCTCAGCCTGGAGGACCCCTCCTCCAGAGCCTCCCTGCTGGACCACCCTCTCCTCATGGCCACGGCCTTGGCCACAGACTCTTGCTCCCAGATCTCATGCCAGATCCACATCCCCGTCCACTCACTGCCTAGGTTGTAGCCTGTTTCAGGGATGGGCAGCAGCTTGGCACATCTTCAGGGGCCCCAAAGCCTCCACACAGAGTTCAACACAGAGGATGTTTCTGAAGTGGACCAGCCTTCCAGGCCCATGTTAAGGGCCATGGTCACTGTACCCTACATACTCCCTCCATCTTACCAAGCTGGCAAACCCCAGACACAGGGTGGCAGGGCCCCTCTGGGCATTGGCAAGGGACTGAGCAGTTGTCTCCATGGAAGCCAAATGGGCAGGAAGTGTTACAGCTGTTGGGTAACAAAGAGACACAGACAGAAGGATGGGTAAGAAGGGAGGCATCCCCTAGATGAAGCCCAAATATGGTGCTTAAGAGCACCCCTCAGGTCATAAGCCCCTTTTCCAGGGGGAGCAACCACAAGCTGCCCAGATGTTCTCTGGCATCTAGCTCCCAAGGTGCAATCCTCAGGGCAAGGTCTACCTCTGAGTCTCCTCACCTCTTTGCCCACCCAGCATTAATGTGAAATGAGCAAAATGCCAGAGGCATCCAGGGAGAGTCCATCTGAGCCTGGAGATCTGAGTCCCGCCCAGCCCTGACCCCACAATGTTCTGGACCTCAATCCTCTCCTCTGTAAAAGGAAGTCTCCATCCTTTTCAATAAGGGGAAGACTTGACCAAAGACACTGAATACATTTCACCACCTGAAGATCTTAGGGAAATGACACTGCGGTTCAGAGCCCTGCGCTTAAATAAACTCTCCGTGTAGTTAGAGAAGAGGCCCTGGGTGGTAAAAATGGTGAGCATATTTACCTGTTAACTGGAATACGGGAATTCAAGTTCACCCAGAGGCACCTTGGAAAAACGTCTGGCGATCTACTTTCATAAAATCAGCCATTGAAAACCCTATGGAATGCAGCTCTACTCTGACACACATGGGCCTGCCATGAGTTGGAATGGATTTGAAGGCAACTGCTTTTCTAGTTAGGGAGCCTTTTAGTTTACGCCCTGCCTTTGCCCTCACTGGGCAGATATGGACCCCACCACAGGAGGAATAACTGAAGCCACTGGGTGGGCGCCTGGGAGGAAGAAAAGCCTTAGGAGAACTTAAGAAAGAGATTGCTGTCTATGCTCCCCATCCTAGGGCCCCCATCCTTACCTGGGACCCCAGTAGCCAGCATTGCAGACACAGTCTCCTGTCACAGCATCACAGGTCCCCTGAATACAGGTGAGGCAGGTGAAGCTGCATTTCTCCCCAAAGGTGCCAAGTGGGCAAGACTCTTCACACCTGAGATGACACCAGACTTGTGGAATGGGGGTGAGTAGAGAAGACCTGGTCCCACAAACCCTGCATATCTTCTCCCATGCTCCTGTACTCAGGGCACAAATTTGCTACCCCTCAGCAGCAAAGCTCAGGTGTAAACAGAGCCTTAAAGCTGACCCCACACCTAGTAGGTGACAGACCATAGATTCCTGAAGCAGGAAGAGGACAGAAAGTTTGAGTGGTGAGGGAGCTAGGAAAGGTTCCTACCCAGAACCTCCTCAGCACCCATTTTGTGACCCTCAGTCTTGTCCAGACGACAGACCACAGAGGATTGCATGAATGTGTGTGTTGGGGTAGAGGGTGGAGCAGTTACCCTAGATAGAGCAACTGGGGTACAGGTGGGAATCCTGAAGGAAGGTGAACCCCACCTTGAGTATGCAGGCTCCCTCACCTGGGACCCTGCCAGCCAGGGTCACAGCGCTGACAGTGCCCAGTGTCTGGCTGACAAGCCTCTCCAAACCAGCAGCGGGGACATTGTTGTCTGCAGCTCTCACCAAAGGTGCCTGGCAGGCAGGGCTGGTTGCACTGCGTCCCGTTCCAACCTGGTTCGCAGGACTCACAGTTGCCTGTATCGGGAGCACATGGCTCATTCTGCTTGCAGTGACCACACCTAGGAAAACAAGGGGTTTAAGGGAGCACTGGGGGAAGGCAGTTGATGCATGAAGCCCACCCCTTCCAATCAGCACTGTGCCCATCCCACCCAGGCCTTCTGGAGCACGGGAAAGTAGCTAGGGCCCAGTTCTGTCACATAGATTGGCACCTCAGTTTCCCCATATTGTACAATGACGGAGCTGTACCGATGATCTCTGAAGGCTCTTGTAGGATTCCATCCTGCGTGATCCAGTCTTCCAAAGAAGCCAGATACTCACCCACTCTGTTTCCCCTCTGCTGAGCTTTCCCCTCCTACCCCCTTTTCCTCTCTCTTTCCACGTGTGCCTGTGGTGTGGCATGAAGGGGACTCAATATTGCAACGTCTATCTCATAGTGTAGAGTGTGGCGCCCTAGGATAAGCACTTGATGTCAAGGTTGATTTGAACTGCAAGGTCAGTGTTTCAAGCTCACCAGCCGCTCCTCAGATACCCTACCCAGTGTCACCATGAGTCAGAAGCGACTTGGTGGCACACAACAACATCCCATAACATGAAAATACATACAAATAAAAACATAAATAGCTGTTTTCACTATTATAGTTTCTTGATAATTTATGTTAATTTCTCAATGGTGCTTAAAAGTAGCTTGAAGTTTCTCTTTCAGGATACTTAATTATCTGGAATTACACACTTGGAGCAGACCCATTAGTTGGGGTTTGGGTGGGGAGTCATAAAATCAATTTACCAGATCCTGACTTGATGGCAATGGGCTTGTTTTTTTAACTAGTAATTTTTAAAAAAAAGAAGTAGAATAGACATGAAAAACCATGAGTACTTAAAAGTGTGCCATTAATGAAAGGAAATCCAATCTAAGAAGGTGCATCTCTGCCCCCGAGCTATGTCACACCATCCTTTGGGCCCTCTGCTGGAAAAGGGAATCAAGTCTCAAACAACGCCTTTGAAACTGTATCCTCCAGTGTTTTAGATGTAGGACCGTTCTGTATCACACCTCCGTGAATGTAAACGATCTTGTACCTGCTTTATGATATGTAATAGTGACTGTGCTTTATCAGAGCTGCTATAATGATGTTATTCGAGGATGTTTTCTTTCCAGATGATGATTGAGAAGCTAATTAAAAAAAAAAAAAAAATGGTGCCAGGGACCACAACAGTAACAGACTTTGCTGTTTTCGGAGGTTTTGATTTATACTTTTACCTTCTTTTTTAATGGAGTGTGCTTGATGGCTCTATAATTTTGCTCAGATGACTGCAGAACCTGGAAAAGCTGTTGCTGCTCTTTATTTTTTTCTATATGTTGATGCATAACACTGTACTTGGTCTTTATATATATGTGTGTGTATCTGTGTGTGAGTGGGTGTGATTTGGATTTTTGGAAACTTTTGTTGTCCTGTCAACTTTGGAAAAAGTATCCCAGTCGTACCATGTTGAGTTGGCATTGTACAGAAATTAACAGCCATATTGGTCTAGAAACATTAAAGTTAAAAACATTAGTTTTTTTTTCCCCATTTGTACAGGGGTAATGCACTGTTTTAAATATGTAAGGTCTTATCTACAAGGGTTTGCTTACAGAAACTAATAAAGTATTCTCTAAATAATGAAAAAAAAAGAAGTAGAATAGAAAACATTGCAGTGTATATCATATGTAGCACAGGTTAAATATGCATTGTCAAACTTATTTCAGTGATTTGTGAAAGGTAATCATGTAAAATGTATTACTGTGAGTAAAGTCAAAGTTTGAAATCCACTGAGTCTTAAAGAAACTCTGCAATCCTTTTTGTCACATGATTCTCTCAAGCTCTGTTACTAGGTAATACTAGTACTAGTAAAAATACTAGTCCTAGTAAAATACTAGGACTAGTATTTTTGTTGCTTAACAGTAACGCAGTGAAAGAGCTACAGGGCATCGGAATCAAGTGCATTTGTTTTGGTTGAAAGTCTTTTGATGACCTGATTAATTTCTTCTTTTGTTATGGGTCTGTTCAGGTTTTCTACTTCACTGTGTGTAAGCTTAGGTAGGTTGTGTTTTTCTAAAAACGTATCCATCTCTTCTAAGTTTTCAAATTTGTTGGAGTACAACTCTTCATAGTGTTCTGTTATTACCCTTTTGATTTCCTTTGGTTCTGTTGTGACATCGCCCATGTGGTTTCTAATGCATGTTGTGTCTTCTCCCTCTTTTCTTTTGTGAGGTTTGCCAATGGTCTGTCGATTTTGTAAATTCTTTCAAAGAACCAGCTTCTTGTCCTGTTGATTCTTTCTATAGTTTTTCTGTTTTCTATCTCATTTATTTTGGCTCTAATTTTTATTATTTCTTTTCTTTTGGTGGCTGTAGGTTCCCTCTGCTGGTCTGTTTCTAATTGTTGTAGATGCTGTGTTAATGTGTTAATTTTGGTTCTTTCTTCTTTTTGGATGTGTGTGTTTATTGCAATAAATTGTCCTCTCAGCACCGCTTTCACCACATCCCAAAGATTTTGGTATGTTGCGTTTTCATTTTCCTTTGTTTCTAGGAACTTTGTGAGTTCACATTTAATTTCTTCTACCACCCAGTCGCTTTTCAGCAGGATGTTAGTCAGTTTCCATGAAATTGACTTGATTTCCTTGGTGTTCCTATTGTTGATTTCTAATGTGATAGCATTGTGGTCTGAGAAGATGCTTTGTAGTATTTGTAAATTTATGGAGATTTGTTTTGTGCCCTAAGACATGGTCTATGCTGAAGAATGTTCCATGTAAGTACATTTTTTGTTTTCCTTTTTCATCCCTACCATAAATATTTTTGTGGAGCACACCACCCTCCTACCTCTTCTTCAGACCTTCTCACTGCATTCCCACCTGTCCTCTCTCCCCTCCTCACCTCTTTCTCCCTCCTTCCCATCCCTACCATTCTGCTCCCTCTTCCCTTAATTCTCTGACCCACCCTCCCTTCCCTTCCTCTTCCCATCCGTCCTGTCCCCAGCACGCCAGCTCACCTGTCCTGGCACTGCACCCCGTAGTTGCCTGCTGGGCAGGGCAGCTCACAGCGCTCACCGCGGAAGCCGGGCGGGCAAGTGCACTGGCCCGAGACAGCGCTGCAGCTGCCACGCACGCACAAGCACTGCTGCCTACACCCAGAGCCCCACCTGTCGGGCCCACAGAGGCAACGGCCCGACTCTTGTGCGCACGGTGAGCCATGGCAGGCGCAGCGGAAACTGCATCGACGGCCCCACCAGCCTGGTTTGCACAGGCAGGCGCCCGTGGTGGTGTCGCAGCGCGCCGCCACCTGGTTGCACTGACACATGCGATGGCACATAGGCGCCCACCAGCCTGGCTCACAGCGGCACACGCCTGTTGGGTCGCAGCGTCCGTGGGGGCCACAGGCGCACTCGAACTCGCAGCTGTCGCCCCAGCGGTCGGCTTGGCAGTGACACTCGCCCGTGGCCGGATCACACTGGCCGTGCGGGTGACAGGAGCAGGTCTCACGACAGTCGGGGCCCCAGTACTGGCCTGGGCAGCCTGGGGGACACAGGGCAGGTACAGCGAGCTTAGGGCTAGGCATGCATCCCAGTCACGCCCTGTATCCCACCCAGAAGGAAAAGGCCGATCTTCTGAGAGAGAGCTGAGGCAGAGTCTTGGAACATCGCACCCAGTCCTCTTGAGAACAGCTCACTTCCTGTCCCCATACTATGAACCACAAAAACACTTAGCAATGGTCCAGCCTCACACTTCACATTCAAGAAAACGGTAGAGATCCAGAGTGGGAAAGGGGATTCCCCAAGGGTGGGAAGGACTTAATCCATGCCCTCTCCTCCCTCCCTGAGTTCCTCCACTGGGCTGGACAGTGGTGAGTGGGGTGTTCCTCCTCAACTCAGGCCTGGATGCTGCCCACCAAGGTCCAGGGAGAAGTCACATTTTTGCAGTGTCTACTCGCAATCTAGTGGTTCTTGGTGGCAGCAGGCTTGCCTGCCTCTGGCTATTCTGCCCACCAAGCCCTCTTTCCCAACCTTCCTTTTTCTGCCAGAAAGGTCCCACAGAGCCTAGTGTGGGAGCCTTCTTCCACTCTCCACACATCCCTCACTTTATAAGATGTATGGGGAGGAGATTGGAAATACATCCATTTTACAGTTAACAAGATCACTGAAAAGTGAAGAGCCTAGAACTGGGCATGGGTAAAAAACAGATGACCTTGGGCATCTCTGAGCGGGTCCCAATCCCTGTCCTCAGTGAAGCTTGGAGGGATTCCGCCTCTGCTGTTCTAAAATGACATTCCTCCCACCTCCCAGTTTTCCCCAACAACTCTATCCCCTGGGAGGACTCACGGGAGCTACACTGGGCCCCGAAGAATCCAGGTTTGCACCGACAAAGGCCTGGTTTCACACACACTTCATCTTCCTGGCAGGCGTCTGGGCCCTTGCAGATGGCTGAAAAATACCCAACTCGTTGCAATGACTGGGACACAATCAGGGGACAGTCCTGTCTCTTACACTGGCTCTTAGGGTCTTGCTCCCTTGGACTAAGGGTATGTGTCACAGAATGGACCCTGGCTCTATGGTTCAAGAAAGAGACCCCAGGAGGGCAGGAAGGGAGGCATCACTGGGGTATCTGTGTTTTTCTCTTCTCAGCTACTCACGGATGGTGCATTCTTGATCTTTCTGCCTCCAGCCTGGGCAGCACTGGAGCTCAGCAGAGGGACTGCGGAGCAGAGAGAGGTCAGCTGATCAGTTCTAGGGAGCTGGGCCCAGGGCTACCTACCTCCCCAGGGTCAGTCACCCTCTCTGGCTGAGCTACGCGAAGCTGCCTCAGGCCCATCAAGGAGGCCTGAGTGTCACAACCCCAATGTCCACTGTCCACAACTCCTTCCCTGGCCTTCCCATCAAGTCTCCCTCCCTTCAGCCCTATGACCTTTCCCCCCCACATCCTCTTTTTCCCTAAAGTCTCAATACCATTTCGACTATCACCACCCAGACTTCCATAAGACCCACCTGCTGACCACGCAGACATGCTGCCCATTGGGGTCCAGCTCAGACCCTGGGGTCCCCCAAGTCCAGAGCAGCAGCAGCAGCAGTGGAAACAACAGCTCCAGCTCCATGGCAGTCAGTGCGGTGGGAGGGCTTGGGTTAGTCAGACCCACAGCTCCCAGCCCTCTTCCTGCTTCCTCCCAAGGCTTTTCCTGAGGAAATCAGGCGGAGGGGCGGGCTGCCATGAGGTACCTCCCTGAGAGGGTGGGCGGGTGTCAAGTCTGGATACCAAGAAGTGTGAGTTGAAAGGGAAAGGAAGGCTAGTGGCTAGGGCTGAGCAGAGACTTAAGGGGCTGGTCTTAGTGGGAAGGGAGGGAAGAATTAAGTGGCATGTCCTTGTGGGGGTGGAAGTCACTGGGGAGCTGTGGCTATCTTTCCAGAGTGAGTAATGAGTTGGGAAAAGCTTCCCCAGCCGGTGACCAACCAAGGAGACCTACCAACTAAACCTCAGCCTTGCCATGGCTTCTTTCAGAGCTGGGATGTTGGGGACAGACCACTGATAGACAAACATGGAACAATTTCTGGGTATTGTAGGCAGTTGCTTTATTTCATTAGTTCAGGCCATCTGCACAAACCCTTGGAAGGTAGGTACTCAGTTCTCTTTTATGAATTAGGCAACTGAGACTCAGAGAGGAAGCATTTTGATACGGCCCAAGAGACACAGATGTTGGAAAACTGAGGCTGTTTGAGCTTGCCTGTCAAGCCCTGGCTCTCAGGCCAGGATCAAAGAAGAGCCTTGGAAAGAGCTGGGAAGGAAGGAGCTCAAATGAGATCACACATCTCCCCACAGTCAGACCCCAAAGTCAAGCCTCTAGGGAAGCCGAGGTTCCAAGACGAAGCTGTTCATCAAAAGCAGAGAGGGGTTGGTCATGAACTAGAAGATGTAGGGCTGGCCACAGGCTCCAGCTGAGTTTGCAATGGGGCTTCCTCTTCTCCCCATTGCTTGCTGGGAGTAGAGCTGCTGGTTCCAACTTCAGGGGACTCTGCTTCACCCCGATACCATAGGCCAAAGCTGGGGGTAGAATCAAGAGGTACCTTGAGCCCTAAGGCCAGAGAGGCCAAGGATATGGGCTGACGGAAGGGGTTGAGAAAGTAGGATACAGAGGGAAGAAAGGGAAGCCTGAGGTAGTAGGGAGGTGAGGAGGCCCAGGGACAGGAAGCAAAGCATGCTTGGAGCTCAGGACAGTAGAGTAAGCATAAATGGAGTGGGATAGGAGACACTGAGAAGAATCCAGGTGGGTCCCCTCCTCTATGCCCACACTCCTTGCCCTTCCCCTTCCTCCAACATACAAACTCTGTATTCTGGACTCGGGGAGTGGAGGCTGGTGTCCCTTATCGCTGGGAAGCAGGACCCAGGAGGCATCCTCATCGTCGCTGAGGCAGAGAGAAAGAAGATATGGAGGTCGTTTATCAAGGCCTGAGGGACAATGGGAGTCCAACTCATATCAGCCTGCTGTGCAGTCTCCAGAAGCAGGCAGGGAAGGAGACGGTGGCTGCTGGGCACCCAGGACTGGAGAGATGAAGGACATGTGAGTCTTTTCATTTATAGCCTGACGGACAACAGGCTTCTGACAAGCTGTGGCTGCAAACTTAGCCCTCAGAGGGCAAACCGATCCAGCCAAGGCAGGAAACTGAGAGATGAATGGTGTCTTCAGCAAGGCAAGCGGGAGCAGTCCTGGATGCAGAGAGAAGGGTGGCAGGCTGGACAGCAGACTCAGTGGGTAACTAGGCTGAGATGACAGGTTTAGGCTGAATGACAGACTCAGAGGTGACCAGTCTAGGTCAGCAGGCTCAGGAGAGAGGGCTGGATCAGTGGGGATAAAATAAAAACTAAAGCCAATGCCTTCTAGTCTGTTCTGAATCATAGAGACTTTGTAGGACAGAATGGAAGTACCCCCAAAAGGTTTCCAAAACTGTAATCTTTAGCTTCTTCCTCAGAGCAGCTAGCTGATGGGTTGAAACAGCTGACCTTTCGGTTCCTAACCAAGCACTTTAACCATTTTGCCAATATGGCTTCTTCCAATAGGGATGAAGGGCAGAGATTTACCTGCTCTCTACTTCCTCTGGGGTCCCTAACATCTTCGCCTTGATCTTTTTCCGCTGCTTCCGGACAGCCACCTTCATGGCTTCCAGCAGAAGTCCAGGCACCCGGTGGTCTGTGAGCAGCTCACTAGAGGGGAGGCAAAGAGGTGAGGGAAAAGCAATGGGGGCGTGAATGCCAACAGTAGGGCTCAGCCCAAGCACCTGTGCAATTTTGTTCCCACGCTTTGAAACGCTCTGATCTTAGCTGAGATGTCACCTTCTTCTAGGAACTCTTTCCAGACTGCTACTGCTGTGGATCTGTGACCCTCTGTACTACCTCATCCCCTGTTTGGATGAAGCTCCAGAGGACAGAGGCTTTATGACTCATGTCTTCCCAGTGGATAGTTTAATGAGCTGGAGAATGAAGCGGAGGTGACCAGAGACCCAGGAACAGAAGTGAGTGGAGCCCCCTTGACGTTCCAGCTCTTCCTTGCCCAGCAACCTTACCGCTGAAAGTAGGCCAACTCCTCCTTCAGCAGGAACACCTTGGCTTTGAGCTCATTCCGCTCCTGAAGGATCTGTTCAAGCTCCTCTCTACTAAACCCGCACTGGCCGGCCTCCAGGGGGCGCCCTGGCGGATGTGGGACTTCAGTCTGCAGAAAAACAGGCTTGGTCTGAGGGTCACTGGGGCCAGCACTACCCCTTTCCTAGACAATCACAGGACTGTTAGGAAGTGACTGGCAGGGAAGCTTGGGGGTCCCAGGTGCTATAATAGATGACAGAACAGTGCTCCGGCTAAGAGCTGGAAGTGGAGGTCAGTAGGGGGTAGGGGGCAAACTTGTGTGCCACCTGTAGATTTCCAGGTGGACCTGCCATGCAGTACAGCAAACCCTTCCCAAGTGCCCACAGAATGCCAAGCGCTGTGAATACTTGACTGGGTCCCTGCCCTCTTCTGGCACTCACAGAGTCCTCATGAGTCCCTGGGGCTCCTGTGCTGCTGGTCGCCTGCTCGGGCCCCTGCCTCTGCTTGCACGCGGGCTCCTGGGCCTGGTCCCGCGCCTGCTCTTGTGCCAGCCTGCGGGACTCTTCACGCTGCAGCTCCCTCTCCTGCTCACGGTCTCGCACTGCACGCAGCTGGGTTTGCACAGCAGCCAGTTTCTGGCGCAGCTCGGCGTTCACCAGTAGGAGGCGGTGCAGCTGTTCCTGCAACTGGGGGCAGAGCAGGAGAGGAGGCTGGTGGGCGGGGCGCCAAGAGACAGTGAGTCCCGCCCCGCGCCTGTCACGTCGCCCTCACCGCCTCGGTCTCCTGGCTGCGCTGTAGCAAGTCATGATTGTGCGCCCGAAGTTCGTCTCGCTGTCTGTCGGTCACCTCTTTGAGCTGCCGCAGCAGAGCACGTTCCTCTGGGGGAAGGAGACGTTCTTAGGGAAGCCCGTGGGAGGGGAGGCCCTAGATCTGCCCTCAGCCTGTCTTTCTCCAGACGGATGCCTGAACTCACCCTGTGGCCCAGCGCGCAACTCCCTGAGCAGGCGCTCGTTTTCCTCCCTCAGCCGCCGCAGCTCCAGTTCAGCCTGCTGCGCCGAGACCTGCAGCTGGGGAGGCCGGGGCTTAGGGTTAGACCACTGCTAGACCATGGGTGGCCAGAGATGGAACTGTGACTCACCGAGTCTGGGGTAGGTCCCACCGCAGCCTTTTCCAGAAGCTCCAGCGCCCGCACCACAAGCGGCACCAACCCGGTTGCTGCCTCCGGCCCGTAGCGGCGTGCCAGCTCTTGAAGCTCAGTGCCCAGGGCCCCCGCTAGATGGTATACGAGCTCCGCAGCTGACCCTGAACCTGTGGCCACTCGAGGGCCCCAGTTTTGTTCCCCAGGCGCCACCTTCTGGGGTTCCATGTACCCTGAAGGCCTAAGGCTTAGCCCCTCCTCTCCTCCAAACTAGGGCAGGAAAAAGCTGCAACAGTTCCTGCCCAGGAAGCAGTTCAGGGCTGTAGTGGGAGGAGCAATTAAATGTGTAAGCGGGTTGTGGAGGCCTTGCCCTAGGAACCTAACCTATAAAGGACAGGTCCCTGGACTCTGTCCTTTATAGCCCCAAGGTCACAGGAAACTGGACAGGCAACTTTCACCCGGTAGCCCAAGAGCTGAGGCTCAGGACTGCAAGTGGTCACTTCAGTCCAGTCCTCCCCACAGGGACCAGGCCAGGCTCCACCCCTGAGCTTGGAGTCATGGGGCTGACTTGGCTCCCAGCACTCCAGGCAAAAGCGGTGAGAGGTCAGATTATCTTGTCACTGGCCTCCACAGAGACAACCAAATTGGCCTCCCAAACTGGCCATCTATAATCTATTTTTCCAACCAGGAGTGACATGCCAAGTTTAAAGAACTAGGCTGGGCATGGTTACAGAATGCAAGCCAGAGGTCCCACTTACATCAGCAGTGCTCAGAGTCGCTGAAGATGGGGTGATGGTTGAAAGGCACTTTGTAAGGGAACTAAGGTTGTTAGGTGCCCTGAAGTCAGTTCCCACAGTGTATAGTGTGTTTCCAAGGCTGTAAATCTTTGTGGGAGCAGAAAGTCTCATCTTTCTCCCATGGGCTTGAACCACCAACCTTGTGATTTGCAGTTCCAGTACTTATTCTACAGAGCCACCATGTTCCCAGTCAGGTTAGTAGGAGTGTGAAAGCCAACCCCACATCGAGTCTAGAGGATATCTAACCTCACTCAACAAAGCCAAACCCAACCCACGGTCATCACATCAATTCTGATGCCTACCGACCCTATACAGGGTTTCTGAGGCTGTCAATCCTCCTGGGATCAAGCTACCACAACTGCCTTCAGTGGAGTAGCTGGTGGGCTTGAACTGCTGACCCTGACTAAAGCGTCTCTGGCTCCCTCCAGGCTGAGCCAGCACGTGGTTCAACCCAGCCTAACTTCCCATCAACCCTCTACCCAGAACGTAAGCTCATGGTGAAACAGACTCATATTTATACAAAATTTATTATAATACTTTAAAGGTCCAAGATCACAAGTCACCAAAATGTTAACAACACAGAAACAAGCATACAATAGAGACAAAGGGAGCCAAGCTGCTGAATGTCACCAGCTTGTCTTGGAGCAGGGAGGCTCCAACCATCTGGGGACTTTGAAGCATGAGGTAAGGGAACAACTAGGCATAGAGGTCCTCCCGGTCCGCAGAGTAGACCTCACCCTCCTGCAACAGTGCAAAGTTAAGGAAGTGTGAAGGTCGGTGCACCTCATGGTAAAACTCTTTGGGGTTTGCCAGCTGCAGCTCATACTTCATGTTGGGATCATGCCGTACACCTTGGGGTAGAAAGAAGTATCAAATGTTAACAAGGGGTCCACCTGCAGCATACAGCCCAGGCCCTGGGCCATTTCCATGCCAGAGCCAGGAAGCAACTTTTCAAGATGATGATCTAACTCCCTCCCCAACTCCCTGTGCTCCTCCACCAACACTCTACAGCCCACCCAACCCCACTTACCCATAAAGTTGTAGTTCCACGAAGATTGGGCAGGGACCATAAAGAAGCCAAGGAAGCGATCAGACAACAGCATCTGGACCCTCTCATAATGTGAGGGCAGGTAGCCCTTGGGGTTGTTGCCCTTGTCTGTGTTTTGGCGGCCCCATTCATAGCCACTGGGGGTAAGCTTATAAGCTGTTAGGGTGCAGGAACCTGGTGTGAAGCTGCAAGAAGGATGAGAACAGAATCAGAGCTCAGGCTACCATTCTGAGCCCAATGTCTGCACCCCATCCCACCTACAGAGTCCTAGTGTGGCACTGTACGATGTTGGACAGCTAACCACAAGATTGGCAGTTCAAACTCACCAGCCGCTTCATGGAAACCCTATACAAGGTTATTATGAGTCAGAAGAGATTGATGGCACTTAACAACACACCCTCCTCCCAAACTCACCTGCAGGTGATGATAATGGTCTTCTCACCATCCCAAGAGGGGTTGTCAGCCATGATCTTGGCATGTGTAGTAACATCCTGGGGTGACAGCTGGGGAGACTCATTGGGCTGAGTGTGGATCCAACCTAAGGGCTCCATCTCCTACAAGCCAAGAACAGTAAAGAGCAATTTAGAATTCCATCTGCAAATAGGAAGGTCCACCCATGAATCACATGTCTGCCTTCCCTTCACCACCAGTAAACAGAAAAGCCCCAGATCTCCCAGCCCAAGCTGAGTCACTGTCTCTTACCTTGAGGTACTCATGCTGGGGCAGCTGGCCAGGCAGATGCACAGTCTGGTGAGTGCCCCACTGTGGAACCATCACAATGCAGCGGATCTCCTTCACCTGAGGGTTATCTGGTGGGCTCACCCCATACAGGTAGCCTGCAATCTGAAAACAAGGGGACCAGGGCCCAAATAAGGGCCAGTTCAGAGTCTCAGTGCTGGCTCTTAGCTCTGTACCTCCTCCCCACCCAAGAACACAAACAATTTCTCAGAATGTGGTCAGAATGTCTCCTCTATCAGAGTCACCTGGTGCTTATTAAAAATATTAAACACAGACCTCGTCACAGAACTACCCTGGAGTGGGGTCCACAGCTTCCCAGTTGATTACTGAAGTATATACAAAGATACAAGCATACGCACAAACAGCTCAACATATGTTCACAAGCTGAACACATCAGTATAACTAGCACTAGGTGATATGTTAAATTTTATATTGCCACCAACAAAGTAAGAGTTATCTGTTTCCTCCTATAACCTCACCCACTGGGTTTTAACAATCTTCAAATTTACCAACCCAGTGGCCACAAATAATACTTTATAAAAACACAGATTTCCCTGATCATTAGTCAAGTTGAACATCTTTTCGTATTTTGTTTGCCATATACAGTTCCCTTTTCTATATTTTTTGCCCATTCTTTTAGTTAATATTTCTTAGTCTTCTGAAAATTCTGTTCTAGATACTAATCTATTATCAGTTATGCAAATACTTCCTACCTCTAGTTTGTCTTTTATAGCACCCTTTGTCATAACCATTATTAATTGTAATTATGGTAATGTATTTTATATCTTAAGAAGACCACCCCAACACTAAGATCACAAATACTTTCTTCTAAAACTCCACAGTTTAGCACTTACATTCAAGTCTTTACTCCACCTATATTTTATTATTGTGAATGATATGAGCAGTGTAAGGCAGGGATCTAACCTCCTTTTTCCATTTGTTTTACTATTTGGCACCCTTAATCCTCCAGACTTGATACATATTTATGATATATACATAAATCTGTTTCTGATACAAAGGGACTTCAAAAAGTTCCTAGAGGGCTTCTGGCAAGATGGTGGACTAGACAGATGCATTACATGGACCCTCTAAAATAAAGACATGCAAGACCAAATGAAACAGACACATTAAAATTCGGAAACCCTGAACTTCAGAGAAAAGTTCAGATAAGTGGATTGAGTGCATGCTGGGAACTGAGCAAGGACGGTGACAGAGGGAGACTGACTTGTGAACAGCCAGCCAGATGCAGTGCAACCACCTTGTGAGCAGTTTTGGCAACAGTAGGAGGCCTGGAAAAGCAGATTCACACAGGAAATGGAAAGGTGCAATTCTTTTTATCCCCTACACTCTCTGGTGATCAGAGTGGTGGCCAGCTTCCATCCTCATCCACGCCTAGGGCACACACTGCTTTCAGCGACATGGTTGGGAGTCAACGCCAGTGTGAGTTTGGGGGCCAGCTGCGCCACTTTGGTGCCCAGATTCATGTGGGATCAGCTCTAGACCTACAGAACCCAAAGAGCTACTCGAGTAGTATTTATCCAATCACCTTGTCCCCCTGCTGCCCTGTAGTCCAACAGACACTGAAACCAGCTCCATCAAGGCCTCCATGAACTCCTTCTGGACTAAGTGCCATGAACACAGATAAAACCGAGGATGATAGGCACTCCATCTAGGGCGAGAGTTCTGCTGTCTCATCCCTCCCACACCCACCTCATGAGCTCCTTGGCTTAAAGATGCTCCTAGAATTGTCTCCTCTTTGGGTCTAAAAGCTGCATGGTTGTCACTTATTGGGTTTGGTTTTTTCCTTTTATCATTATTTTTGTTTATCCTTTCTCTCTGCACTTTTATTTTTCCTTCTGTTTCTCATTTCCCCTCTCTTTATCTTTCTTTACTACTACTACTCTACTCTCTTCATCCTTCTTCTCCCTGGTTTTTCTAAGAGTTTAATAAAAAATCTCTTCCTTTTATTTCCTCGCTCATTCATCTCTTCAGCAGCTCCATTTTCCTGTCCCTCTTTTTCCTTTTTTAAAGTTTTTATTGTGAATGAGTGAAAGTTTACAGAGCAGATCATCAGTTTTACAGTCAACAAATCATATACTTTGTTTCATTACAATGATTATAATCCCTTCCATGTACCATCAGTATTTCTTTCTGTTCAATTTAGTTTTTGTTTTTTTTTTAAATTAAATGTTTTTATTTTGCATTGAGTGAAAGTTTACAGGGCACATCATCAGCTTCACATTCAACCATTCATATAGCTTGTTTCATTACACTGATTATTATCCCCTCCATATATCATCAGTTAACAGTGTTTCTCTCTATCCTCTTTAGCTTTTTTTTTTTTTTTTTGATGGGGGGGGACCCCTCTTTTTCCTTTTTATTTATATGTAAGTGGTTTAAAACATTCTTCCTTTTCATATTCTTTTGTTTCTGTTTTTATTTATTTTTTCTCTTTTCATTGTTAGTTCCTTGTTTGTTTATTAAGAGTTTTGTTTTATTATGTGTGTGGGGTGGGGAAGAGTTTTCTTTTTCCCATCCATGAGGAGACAGAAATCTATATAGCCCAGTCACAACTGTAATCTGCAGCTCCACCCACAGGGCAAGAGTTAATACTAGCTCCTATACCACCTGATTTAGTGGTTGCT